AGGGCTTGCTAGAGCTCTGTAAGTGTTCAATTTTACCAAAGAATCTTTAAGCCTGGCCATCGATTCCTTTTCACTTCGTTCGGCGGCATCTTGAGCTTTCTGTGATTGTGGATCTTCCACTTTGTATCCCTTGCTGACGAGAAATTCGACAATTCCATAGTTTCCGTTCACTACAGCCAAGCCGAGCGGCGTCAGAAACTCATCAAACTTCCCTGAGGAATTTAGTGTTTTCGATGTCGTTGCTGAACTTCTTTCTTTTGCAGTGGAGATTCTCCGATTCGAATCATATGCCACGAGAATCCTGACGCACTGCAAGGAATTGTTCCTAACAGCTTGGAACAACGTTGAACCAATTTCTGCCTGATTTTTCAGGAGCGTTTTGATGATATCGATTGCTTCCTCATCAACTGCTATTTGCAGCGCGGTTTCTCCGTTAGTATTTCTGCAATTGACGTCGACTTGTTTGTCATGTAGTAGTTTCTGAACTGACTCTTTGTCGCCGCTTTGAACAGCTTCAAAAAATGCTTCTTCATCTGCACTCAGAGGACCAGGCAATAATTCCATTTCGTCAAGTTCAACAGTTGCTGTTGATTGTCGTTGCGGCGAAAACAAAACATTTCGACTGTTCGATATCTCTTCTGCTTCAAATGAGGCAGACATTTTGCTATATAAGACGTCAACCATGATAAAAGCCCTATGGACTTTTCGATGTTCAAAGCAGACAATAGCAGTTTGCCAGACAGTTAGATCGCTGATTTCTTACTATAAGCGGATCTGTTGGAATTTGAAGACTCGTGATTTGTTTACGGTTGAGCAGCTTGATTAGTTCCGCTTCCGTGCTTCGTTTACGTCGTTTGGTAATTAGACCACTAATTATTCAAACACTTAACTTTAACGAGGGTTCAAAAAAGTCATCCATTGTACAAATACAAATCGAGGAAATTTTGTTTTGATGCACCTTTGAAACCCGAAAACTATTAAAACTAGAAAACTTCTAAACTTATTGAAAGAAAATGACATTTCTTGGGCGGCTCCGTATTCGGTAGACCACTGATAATGACACTACATTCCAATTTTCCAAAGCTAAACTTATACACTGTGTATTGGAGAACCCTCACCAGCAGAGAACAGGACGCGTTTGCTGTTGTTTATATGCAAGATTTTTGCAAATTTGCAATACCATTTTTTTTTAACATAGGGCATAAAGATGGTTAGTAAATATGGCTTGACAAGTGTGCCAAGGACTTTTGGCCTTTTGGCCGTGACTTTTGTAGTCACGTTGTACAGCTTATTCAACAGTTGGTGAAAAGATTCTTTGTACGAACTCTTTTACCAAGTGTCTTTAAAACGGCCGGGGAAGAGAGTTGATAAAAGTACACTTCAAGGAAGAAATTCAGAATTGGAGATCAATTCTTAAGCTGCTAAGTAAGCAGGAGCTTTAAATGTCGCGCAGTGAGAAGAATCTAGCCAGATCTTAAAATTGTATAAGAGCGAACAGTAATGAAAGAATGGACACTTGAAGATATATACACGCCGTATATACTTTTGAGCTTTAATGCAAAAACACAGCACTCTTGCGTGCGTGGCCGAGGTCCCGAATTCAAATCTCCCTAATGCCACTAGATGGATTTGTGTTCGGTGTTCCAAATGTAACTCCTCCACGTCTTCTAAATAGCCAACAGGTCAGTCTTAGCTTCGACCTCTTATAAGTTTTAATACGTTCTCAGTTCTATTTGCAATATTTGTTTCTCAATTTATAGTGTCCCAATAGAGCGGTCATTGCAGACGTCATTATGTTCATTTCTCCTCATTAACAGACGACTTTGCTCAGAGATGGTATCATACTAGTTAGAAATTGACTCCAATCATTTGAAGAGCTGGTGAAACTTAGTGATTGATGAAATCTTGGGCTCTTTGGGTGTAATATTCAAAGAGAAATTAGCTTTCCAGACCAAAAGCACTAACGAGCTCAGACATTCTTTTTCGTCGCACAAAAGGGTTAAATACTTGGGGCTAAAATTGCTTAAGACAATTAATCGTGCAGTTTCAACATAAAGATTGACTGATCTTTTTGTAGCTCGATCCCAAACTGAGTCACTTATGCTAATGAAGCAAGTATTGCCCCTATTAGCACAACAGTGCGAAATATCTTGGCACTTAGATAAGTTAACGTGACTGTTTTTTGCCTGAAGAAAATGATAACAGCAAATATATTAAAAACAAAGCTAAAAATGGTCAAAAATATTTATGCTCATCATAATGTGTCAACTGCTTTTGGCTCCTGAGTAAATGCGTTGATTTTCTACACTAATTAATTCATCAGACAAGAAATAATCCTATTTATCCCATTATTCGCTCATTTTGAAGTGACTTAGTCGAGATCAAATTAAGCGGTTCGTTTAAGAGTCTTGCTCCCTCAAAAGGACTGCTTCATTCTTTACTTGAGTTTCTTGGTTGTTTCTCTTATCCTGAAAGAAGAAAAAAGGCGAAAACTAGCTATAGTAAGCTCTAAGTATGCATGAATTCCTTGAAAGAGTGAGATTAGTATTAACGCAAAATGTAATACCTTTTCTAGCGGATAATGCAATAACGCAAAATGTAATACGAAATCTGTTCGTGAAATCATAGTACCAACGTAGAGGTCTACAGTAAAAATGCCCATGGCATGTGGAATCCAGCAGATTATTTGTTTTGGTGAGCAGAGGAAGGGTCACAGAAGTTACAAGTTTTCATGTTACTTTTTTGATGCAGTAAAATACTAAAACTTTCCCAGCACACCCCCTCCTCGTTCTTAAACGAAGCCGTAAAATAGTTAAACAAACTTAAGTCGTTCAGAAGAATTATGTCCGGTTCACAACGTTATCTTTCTCTCTCGCACCGATACAATTAGTGATCAATGAAGGGGGTTACGTTAGCAAAAACAATAGCGAATTATTGAAAAGTGTTAATAGGAACACTGATGACAGAAACCTCGGTAAAATACAAACGAGCAGTGATTTTATGATTGCCATACCAAATTCACCTGGCTTGATCTGGACTGGCTCAATCTCAAACTAAAATTTAGTACTTTGGTGAATGCATCGTATTTCGCGAAGCCATAGCAAAAGCGATAATGCTGCCTTAATTTGTTGACTTCCGTACGTATCAGTGTTGGCTCTTTGTTTCCCAATAAATTTTTGAATTTAAAAAAAAACCTTTTCCCTTCGCAATGAAACTTAGCCACGCGTTGACCCACAGAACCTAGTTAATGACCACACCCTTTTTTCCTTTTAAACGCAAAATTCGCTCCGTGAGATCACAAAGCGCTGAAGTGTAGTTACTCTAATCTTTTCAAAGGTAAATATGACAATTCCTGGACTTTGTTTACCAAATTGATATTTGTACTTGAAGAGCTTGTGTTTGTTGCGTCAGACACTGTATATAAGGACGGAAAAGAGTCGCGTGTGGCTCTTTATGAACTCATCGTTCGATCTTCTTTTCAGCATTTTTAAAATTAAATGTTAACAAAACTGTTTAAAAGCGGTTTTGTTAACTTTTGCCCTTATTGCCTCGCTTCTTTAGTGCTTAACACATCATAGCTTACCGTTGGGGTCTGATGACGAAACCGCTTGATCGCATTTTGCAGGCTCTGTAATGTTTTTGTGACCTCCATTAGTTTTTGCTTTATCTCTTCTGGAGGAGGAGATTCTTCTTCGGGCTCGTCGTTTTGTGTTTTTTTAGTCGCGGAGAAATAGCGATGAATCAGATTTTTGATGACGACTCGGCGCTAAACGAAAGAAACGAAACAGGTGTTTTTTGTAAAAAGTGCTATTCAAGCAAAAACTATCAACGCATTTCGTGCCAAGAGTATCGAACTCAAGTCAACACTCGGCTATTTTGTCCTAGAAATACTTACTCTCTTCTCGTTTGTCTTCACTCTGGTAGTATTTTGTTCACTTCCAAAACGTCCAAGACACTACAAAAGAAAGGAATTGAACACATATCTCTCCATACGTATTAGAATATCAAAATGTGCGAGAAATTAGTACTTAGCTCTTATTAACCGAGCAGGAGGTTTGTATGGG